ACAAAACCAGCCAGGGCGGAGGTCCAGCCCCCGGGGGTGGAGGGGACAGGACGGCTCGTGGATAACGTGTTGAAGTGGTCGGCGTGCGAGGCGGCAATCAGGAAATTCAAGAAAGGAAAGGCTGTAGGCAGCGACAAACTAGATGGGTACCTGATCCGAATTGCGCCGAGGGGAGTGCAGCGGGAGTACTGGAGGCTGCTGCAGGAGATTGTGCGGGAGGAGCAGTATCCCAAGGTGTGGAATGATTGGATTGCTATGATGGCAATGAAGCCTGGGGAGGATCCGAAGGAGCTCGAGAGGAGACGGGACCTGTGGGTGCAACCGCAATCGATGAAGGGGCTGATGCGCATGCTACTGCCAGAATACGACCGAGCGGCGGCACACACGGTGCCGGGCTCGCAGAGCGGCTTCACCAAGGGAATGAATGCACCGGCGCAGACGCTCACGGCAAGGCTGCACGCGGAGGAGTGCATGATAGAAAGGAAGATGTGTGTGAGGGGATACATAGACTTAGGCACGTATTTCATGAGCGTCGTGAATGAGGTGCAATGGAGAGTGGAGGAGTGGGCCGGTGTGCCAGCGGACGTCACGAGAGTGCTAAAGGCACTGCGGGAAGGGCTCGGCGACCTGCCAGGGCTAACAGGCAGATACGAGACGGGCTATGGGCTCAGCCCAAGGTTTGAAATCGAACAGGGACTAGGCCAGGGCTGTCTGCTCTCGCCTACACGGAGTAAGCTCATGCTCGCGGTGATGCAGCGAGCAGTGAGCAAATTGTGCCAGGGGTTCGAGTTCACTGCAGCAGGGGAGAGCGTGCCGCAGCTGGTATACGCAGACGACTGCTTGCTGTTGAGCAACGATATCGCCACGATGCAGCTCGCGCTCGAGTGCGCCTGGCTGGTCACCAAAATATGCGGAAACAGCCTACAGGTGAAAAAGAAGAAGAAGTCCGCATGGTCCGCGACCTACTGGAAGGAGGGGGCGGAAGTGGACGTGACGGGGTACGAGATGAAGATGCCAGACGGGACAAATATCCCTCAGCTAGTGGGAGACGAGACATACAAGTATCTAGGGACCGAGCTACGACCGGGATGGGCAAGCGGCGAGTGGCAAAAAGACATGAGGGAACGGGTCAAGAGAGATTGCAAGCGCGCGCTGTGGCTCGTTGGGAACCTCTCGCACCTGACCGTGGAGCAGATGAGGCGCAACATGGCGCTCGCACTTAGCGGCATCATTGGATACTATGGCAGGTCAACAGTCATCACGTGGGAGGATTGTGAGGCCATAGAACAGGTCCGGGCTTCCGCACTCAGGGCCAGGAGATTCTCGGTGGGAGTGCCAAAGCTGCAGATGTACGACGCAGAGGAGGGGGCAGGGATGGAGATGGAGCACGCATACACCTATGCGGTCGCTGCGCTGGTGGATCAGGTGGACAGGGCGCTGTGTGCAACGGAGGGAGAACCAGCCAGGCTAGCTGTGGAGAGCAGCCTCGCGCACACACTGAAGCGCCTGGGTTGCAGGAGCGACAACCCTCTCGAGTGGAAGCCACCCTGGGACTGGGAGAAGGAACTCTCAGATGACCTCGTCATCGAGGCGTACCTGAAGGCCAAGTGGAGGAGTGGAGCAGACACCCTCGTCACAGCAGGATGGAGAGAGAGGGCAAAGGGCCCGCTGCGCCCGAGTGCATGGGCAGTGACAGAGAAGGAGCGAGCAGAGCGAGGCCCAATGCTATACGAGGGGCAATGTGCGTGTGACTTTGCGCGGTGCCTGGCGAGGCGCGGGGTGGCAGCATGGGCGGACATCACCAACGCAGCGACAGGAGTGTTCATGACTTGGCCCGAGCTCCGAGACCTGCATGGACTGGCAAACGGGCAACGAGAGGAGGCTGAATATCGCCATCTGTGCCGCCAGCTCGGCGAGCCCGAGCTGCAGCAGCGGCGGGACGAGTGGAGGACAAGCGTCCTCGGCGGCAGGGGCAGAGGAGAGCGCCCAGCACAGAGGAGGCCGCGAGGCAGGCCACCAGGCAAAGGCAAAGGGAGGGCAGGCGGAGCGGGAGGGCAGCGCGCCGCAGCGAATGCTAATTCCTGCCAATTAGCCCGTCCGACAAGGTCGACGGAAGAAATAACCGGCTTGGTGGGAGAAAACAATGCGAATCAGGTAGAGGCATGGAGAGCGGGTAGCTGGAATGTGGCTTCGATTACAGCGGCGAGGAGGGCGCCCAGGTGCTTCGGTGGCGAGGAGGGAGAGGAGACGGGGTGGGAATACCTATGCAACTGGGAGGGAGATTGGGAGGACTCGTGGGTGCGGCACGACGAGATGGGCACCACAGAGGCGATGAGGAGGGACATGGAAAGGGCCAGGCGGCTGCGACGCGTCGCGGCCACCTTTAGGGAGTGGCTAGAGGCGGAGGCGCGACGCGGGGAGAGAAGCGCAGGCTTCGAGAAAAAGAAAGCCGCGGACGCCCTGGCCACGTGTGACGGAGCCAGGAAAGACGGATGGGAAGTAGTACTAGAGGCGTTCCTGGGGTACAGCGCAGCGGCGAAGGAGGTGTGCATGGGAGGTCCCAACCTCGCCGAACACACTTTCGAGGAGGGGCGGGTGCGCACCAGAGAGGCGGACTGGCAGCGGCGCACACTTTATCTCGGGGGTAAGGACAAGACGGCAACGGGAGAGGAGGATGGCAAGAAGGTACAGGGGACGCCCGGGCTGGAAGTGAGTAAGGCGTGGGAAGAGGAGATACCCGAGGATAACAAGGTGACCTGGGAGGACACGAGGCGGAGACTAGGGGAGGAGGAGGCGGCGGGAGGAGACGGTGCGGGCGTGGCACCGCGACGCATCAATTGGAAGGGCGAGGGGGCAGGTGGCGGAGACGTGTTCATGACCCCCAGGAGAAGGGCCCGACCCGACTCGGGGAGAGGGAGGGTGATGCGTTGCGACGACATACACGAGGCGGATAGAATCCTACGAGCGGGGAGCCAGCTAGGAGTGCTGTGCACGCCGGCCGACGGACCGATGCTCACGCGGGATAGGCACACGATGGGCGAGCCCGGGGCGGTGGGGACGCTTTATGACGAGGCGTACAAGAGGCTGGGCAGGCCAGGGTGCGACGGGGCGCGGTGGAGGGAGGCACACTGCCGGCTCGAGAGAGCGCGGGACGACATGCTCGACCCAGAAAAACAACGAGAAGTTAGGGAGGAGTGGAAGCGGGAGGGATGGACGCGGCACGTAACATCGACATTGCGATGCGCGATCGATGCGAGCGCGCTAGAGGCCTACGCCGCCAGGCCAGAGGCCATTGCACGGAGCTCTGTGCCGGCACACAGAAGAGCCGTGCGGCAAGAGAAGAGCTCGATGGGGAGCGAGAACCGTCAGATTTTCAGGTGTAGCCTGAAGTCTGTCGCGATGCACTCAATCCCTCCCGAGCGAAAGCCTGTGGCTCTCTCGAGCTCGTCGATATATTGCGGATAAACTGCTCTTCCCGCATAGCTTGCAGAGTCAGAGAGGCGCAGTGGCGCAGAAAGGCTGCGAGTGCTCGACGAGTCTTGCGAGCTGCGCGGTCAAACCTGGGGGGAACTGACCGCATCAAGGCGGACTTCCGAAACCTGGTTGAGCACCTCTGGCGGTTCTCGCTCCCCATCGAGCTCTTCTCTTGCCGCACGGCTCTTCTGTGTGCCGGCACAGAGCTCCGTGCAAGCCTTCCAGCGTGATAGGAACGAGTGTATCGCTTCGACGGATCGACCGTGCTTGTTATCAAGACCGATGTGACGCACACAGTGACACATCAGACGACACATGCTCTCCCACCCGCCGGGACGCAAACGCTCTCGGCGAGAGCCACAAGAAGGCGTCCACACAGCAAGCCACTCGTCGGACAGGCGTGCTCGCTCGATGCCGGCGAGCGCATTGCGCACGCTTTGAACGGTGGCGAAGCCAAAATCACCGATGGTGGCCGTCCGCTGGCGTGAGCGGCGGCGGTCGAGACCTCACCCTTCGCGCCGACGACCCAACCTTACGCGGAACAACCCAACCCAGGCCCACAACCCAACCGAGAGAGAGAGAGAGAGAGAGAGACTCTCCTCTCTCCTCTCTCTCTCTCTCTCTCTCCTCTCTCTCCTCTTGTCTGTGCTGTCTGCCTGACTCAGGCACTCAATCTGCCGATGCGTGATTGTGTGTGGGCTGCTCCGAGGGGGCCCTCTGTGCGATCCGACGGGTAGGGGGGCTGTGCCCGGGCGGTGTCCGGTGTGGAGTCCCCTTCTGATCCCGCCTGGGATGTTGGGTGTGAGGTCGTGGAAGCTTCGATCCCAAGGGGGGGAGCCGAGCCCACTCATAACCAACTCTCAGGGGCAGTAGGTGGGCGAGCCTCGAGCGCGCTCATCTCGATCGTCAAGACGTTGCTACGCGCGGTCTTCCGCGGGGGGAGCTGCGTCGACGGGTGCGGGACCGCGGCGCAGCCAGTGCCGTGGCGATGCCTCCGGCTGTTTGCGGCGGGCGGCTTGCTGCTCGCTGCGATGGCGAAAAACTCGTCTCGCCACACGCCAAGGGCTTATGCTCTGGCGAGACGTGAGGCGCATGCGCCCAGGAGGGGAGGGGGCATGTGTAACGACACTGCTAGAGATGCCTTTCGGGGCCCAGAGATAAAACTTCTGTGATGCCATGCGTGACCTAGTAGTGTCCCCAGCTATGGGCGTGTCCACGTTGGAGCCAGGTGTGGTGTGGGCGCGAGAATAGCTCCGCCGTTCATGGAGGCAACCGATGCGAGTCGACTGGTGTGTGTCGTCGTGGTTTCGTATCAAGAATTCTCTCTCTCTCTCTCACAACCCAACCCAACCCAAAAAGCACGATTCTCCTGTTGCCTTCCCTGGGACCCTGTGTTGCGTGACTGTTTCTGTGCGATTTCGGGCCCGGGGTTGTGCGTTTATGTGAACCAGCGGAGCGAGTATTTTCTTCTCAATAACAAGTAGAAAAAGAATGCTGCATTCCCGCGGTCAACTCCGGCGCGAGCCATGGCAGGCGCAGACCTCTCCGCCGCTGTCCACGCTCACCTGCGCGCCAACCAGCGCCGATCCGCTGCGAAGAGCGGCGCTGGCCACACCTGGGGCTCGCGCCAGGCTGGCGAGGCGGAGGGCGCGCCTCCGGCGGCCGCCGCCGCAGCGGCAGCCGCGAGAGAGTGGGACAGCTTTGACCCTGTGCCGCCCGAGGTCGACGGAGCGAGTGGAAGCAGCCGCGCGCCCAAGCGCTCGCGTCGCAAGGGACCTCCGCCGGCAGCCTCACCCGCACAGCTGCACGCGGCCGGCTTTGCAGTCGGCAAAGTCTACCGCATGGCTGCCGACGGCTCGCTCGAGCGATCGGGGCATGCGGCGCGGCGCGACGTGAAGCGCCGCGCGCGGCGCGAGGCCAAGGGAGCCGCCAAGGAGGGCTGCAGCGCCGCCACGCCACGCGAGGCTGGCTCCTCGGATGGCTTCGCCGCCGCCACGGCGTCCTCTACGGCGGCTGCAGCGCCTGTCATGGCGGCGGCGGTGACGGCTCGCGCCGCCTTTGAAGTGGACCCCTACCACGGCAGGCGCGTGCCTGTGCTGGAATCGGGCGGGCGACAGGAGAGGCCGCAGGACGCCCGGCGCAGCGGCGGGCGAGACGCGTTTGCCTCGCTAGAGCAGCGCGCAGGAGAGGTTGGCGGGAAAGGGAGCAGCAAGGGGAGCAGCAAGGGCGGCAACAAGGGAGGCAGCAAAAGAAGCAGCAAGGGCGGCAGCAACAGAAGCAGCACGGGAGGCAACGAGGGGGGCAGCGATGGAGGCAGCGAGGGAGGCAGCAGCAAGTCGCGGAAGCGCAAGCGCAAGCACGAGGTGGCTGAGGCGGAGAGTGGCGGCGGTGGGGAGGGCGGCGGAGAGGGCGGCGGAGAGGGCGGCGGAGAGGGCGGCGGATGCAGCCGCAGTGCAAGCGGCCGAGCGGGCAGCGCAGACAAGCGCAAGAGGGAGGAGGGGGCGTCGGGTGGCGTCGAAGCGAGCGGCGCCAAGAGTGGCCAAAAGCGAGGCGGGTCAAAGAGGAAGCGCGCCGGGCCACCCGAGACAGCGGAGTCGGGGCTAGCGGCGCCGGCCATCACCGCTGACGCCACGGGCACCGGCTCGCGCGACACGCTGCGGCGCAAGGCGCAGCGACAGAAGCGCAAGCAGGCCGAGGCGGCCGAGGCCGCGGCGGCTGCAGCTGCGGGGACGGAGGCGCCTACTTCGGCTCGACTGGCCGGGACGAGGGTGGAGGGGTCGGAGGCGGCGGCCGAGGCGGCGGCGGAGTATGGCGCGGGCACTGCCTCCGCGACGCCACTCGCTGCGGCGGGTGGGCGAGTCGGGTGCTGGGCGGGTCGAGGCCGAGGCGCGGCTGCTCGGGCGTTGGGTGGGGGTGGCGCGGCGGGCCGCGGGGCGGGCCGCGGGCCGGGGCGGCGAAAGGCTGCCTTTGTGTACGGAAACTACGACAACTACTACTCGTACCGGCTGGTGCCCGCCTCACTTGGGCACGGCTCGCCCGTCGACGCGCGGCTGGGCAGCTTCCGCGCCGAGTGGTTCCGGGGGCGCGACGTTTGCGACATCGGCTGCAACGCGGGGCTGCTGACTGCGTCTGTCGCGCGCATCTACGCAGTCCGCTCCATGACCGGGCTCGACATCGACGCGGCCCTCGTCCGCCGCGCGCGCACCCTCCTCGTCCCCGACGGGGGCGTCGCGCCGCCCCCCGTCGCGCCGCCGCTTGCCGCCGCACCCACCGCCGCACCCGCCGCGAGCAAGACCGCCGACCCGATGCTGACCAACGACGACTTTCGGGCCATGCTGCTCGGTCGCGCCCCCGGCCCGTCCCCCGCCCCTGCGGCGGCCCCGGCCCCGGCCGCGGCTGCCTCTCCGCCCTCCTGCGTGGTCCGCTTCGGCAGCGCGACAGACGAGTCGACGCCCTTCGAGCCGGGCGCCGCTTACCCGCGCAGCGTCCGCTTCGCGCACCTCAACATTGCGCAGGAGCCGCCTTCGGAAGGCACACCGGGCGAGGTGAGCCCCCCTCGCACACACCACCTCCCAGACCTCGCAGACCTCTCCGCACGCCTTTCCGCCAGCTCGCCTCCCACGCCCTCGTGCACAGCAGCCTTCACGCACCGCCTCGCCCCCTCTTCGTAGGGCGAGCTGCGCGGCGCCTTCGACACGGTCCTCTGCCTCTCCACCTCTAAGTGGGTCCACCTCCACTTTGGGGACGAGGGCCTCAAGTGCCTCTTCCGCCGCGTGCACGCCGCCCTCCGGCCGGGCGGCCTCTTCCTCCTCGAGCCGCAGCCGTGGTCGTCGTACCGCAAGAACGCCGGCCTCGCGCCGCACCTGCTGCGGAACTACGGCGCCATCCAGATCAAGCCGCCGCAGTTTCGCGAGCTGCTGCTCGGAGAGATCGGCTTCGCCACATGCGAGGAGCTCTCCGCCGCCGCGGCCGTGCCGCCCGCGACCGCCGCCGCGCCAGCAGCGGCGCCAGCAGTCGGAGCGCACGGCGCCAGAGGTCCTGGGTTTGCGCAAGGCGCGCGCGGCGGGGCGAAACGCCCGCTGCTGCTCTTCCGGAAGGGGGGGGTCTGAACGACGTGATCCGCAAAAATAGCGTCTGCGGTGAGTTTGAGTACCGTATGTTCCTACGTGTTTAGTCGGAGTACGGAGACGATAAAACTTAAAAACACTCAAAAAAGAGACTCTCTCTCAAAATAATGAGTATGAGCTGAAGAGACAACGCTCAAGCCTCAACGGAGTTAGTCAACGATTCATAATAGTTAATACATCGCGCGCACACCATCTCGTCGAACCATCTCTGACACCATCATCCATCAAGACGAAAAGAATCCGGGCTCACTATCCGACCCGCTCGAGACTCGCGCCCCTCCGCCGCCGTCCTGCTCAGAGGGGGCAATCTCGGTGATGGCGCCGCTCTCCAGCGCGCCTATCGTGCATCACACACACCACAAGTCAGCGTTCCGCTCACGCTCGCTCACACACATGAGACGCCCAATGCTCTGAGCGAATTGTCGGCAGGGAGTCCGTGTGTGTGGGTAAACAGTGGCCCGGCGCGCCTAGGTGACAGTCGATCGGCGGCCGCCACTGCACCTGCCCAGTCTTTCTGTGGCGATAGTAGGGGCAGCCGTCGGCGTCCTCGTGCTCGCGCCACCCGCGCGCCAGCTTGGCTCGCGGCTTGCCGCCCGGAGAAGAGCGCATGGACGAGCGGCGCCCGCGGCGGGAGAAGAGCGGCGCACCCTCGGGCCCCCAGCCTCCGTCGTCGTCGAGCCTACCCGTGCATCGCGATCCTCGCTAACGCGGCGTTCCTCGGGCGCAGGCTACCGCGGCCGTCTGCGACCGCCTGTAGTCGCTGGGCCGTGCTCCGCCGTGCAGGGGCGCGGCAGCGAGGGGTACCCCCCGCCAAGCCAAGGAGAGGGAGAGCGAGAGGAGGGCGGCCAGGCTGACGAGCAGGAGAGCGAACGACCTTGCGCGACACACAGATCAGCATGGGGAGGGCCGGTGTAGTACATGACTGTTAAGGGCGAGTTGCGGGGGCTGCAGGCGCGCCACGCCGAGAGGCGGGTCGGGAAGGCTCCACACAGCGGAGGCACAGGCACAGCGTCTGGCAGGCCGCCAGCAGCGGCTGAGGAGTAGCACGAGGGCGGGCTGCCCAACCGCCCGTCGCTGGAGATCGCAGAGAAGCAGAGAATGAGCATACAGCCCAATGCGACGACGCCTGTGCGGATACCGAGCAGCTACAAAAGCAGAGCTAGCTGAAGACTGCTCTCGATCGATGCTCTCGGCGAGCATGTGCGTGCGTGCGTGTGCCACGGTGCTTGCGCCGCTCACCGACGATTCGCAGCAGGTCCACGCCCGTTCTCTGCCACTGTGGCGCGCCCGAGTAGAGCAAGCAGCAGGCCGCCGCGACGCCCCACGCGCCGCCGGCCCTCATCAGCCACGGCAAAGGTGGCTCGAACCAGCCGGGCGTCGCGTTGTCGAGCCACGGCAGGCAAGAGGCCTGCAGCAGCAGCAGCGACACAGTGGCGAGAGCCCGTGCCTGTCTGTTCACCGCTAGCATTTGTGTGTGGAGTCGAGCGGACACGAAGGCGGAGCCGGCACGCCCACGATCTCGCGACTGCGGCCAGAAGAGCGGAGAGCGGCGACGAGCACGGCGACGGCAGCCCTCGCCGGCCCGGAACGCCGCTCCAAAACAAATTTCTGGTCTCGACGCCGTTCACAGGCCTGTCGTGCGGGCGGGCGCTCACCCCGCGACCCTCGATGTCCTCCTGCTCCTTCCTCGACGGCGAGATCGAGGTCGAGAAGGTGTACCGCGACAACGAAGTTGCCGCCGAGGTCCGGATACCCATCGCGCCGTGGGTCGGCGGCACGGTCGTCACCGTCGATTTCGGGCCGTGCCAAGTCGAGATCCCAGAGTCCGAAGTCGAGGGCGCCTCGCTGCTTGGGGGCGTGGCGATCCCGCACAGCAAGCAGGCATCTTTTAAACTCGAGCACCCCGACCGCGCGGACGAGTTCGATAGCGTGACGTTGCAGGCGCCGATAGCACAGCAGAGAGCCCCGGCACGCGGACCACAGCTGTGTCGCAAGCAACCAACCCACAAACCGGTCCTTGACGCACCCAGGCGGTGCTCTCCAAGCCCGAGACGGCGCGCTGCCGCCTCGAGGACTACATCAAGCACCTGCGCGACGCCACCACCGTCTCGTGCCCCTCGACGAAGTCCTCGGTGCTGCGTTCGCCGCCGCCGCCGATGCCGTCGCCGCCGCCTCCAGAAACCTTGTTGGGCCTTGGCGCGGCGGGCGGCGGCGTGCTGGGCGGGTCCGCCTTGGGCGCGAGCGTCCTGACGGAGGTCGGCGCCCACCCGGTGGCGGTGGCTGTCGCCCTTGTGGGCCTCGGTGCGCGCCCCCTCCCTCGCCACGCGCTCGCGGCAACTTCCGCCTCCCGCACACGGTTCCCGCGCCGCCTCACCGCCCCCACCGCCCCCACCGCCCCCCGGCATAGCCCCCCCGGCTGACTCGGAGAGCCCGCCCTCCACCGGAGCAGGCGCGCTGGCGGTCCTCCTCCTCGCCCTCCTCGCCCTCGCCCTCCACCAACTCGCCCGCTCCTCGGCTGGAGGGAGCAAGCGCAACCACGCCAGGCGGCTGCCGCAGGCCGCCGCCCACCGCCCAGGCCCAGCGGCCCCCCCCGTCCCGGTTCCTGTCGGTTTTTCCGGACCCCCCCCCCCCCC